GCTGGAGCTGTCGGACGAACTTAACCGCCAAGATCTCGACGTCATGCTCCTGTCCGAAACTTGGCTACGACCGAGCACACCCAATCGCCTCCTGGTCATCCCTGGCTACTCCATCAGCCGGGTGGACCGACCTGACGGCCGAGGCTTTGGTGGCGTCGCCATCATCACCAAAGCGGACCTTACGCCTGTAGCACTGAAGCCACCAAGCTCGCAGTGCCCGGACAGTCTTCTGGAATCGCAGTGGGCATTGTTGAAATTACCAAAAAATCGCAATCTGATTGTCTGCTCGGTGTACCGACCGCCGCGTTATTCCGCGACCGCACTGCGTGCGGATTTTACAGACTTGGAAACCCAGCTTCAGCGTGTCCTTATCGACCACCCCAACGTCCCGTTTGTTATATGCGGCGATCTGAATTGTGACTTGTTAAAGAGCGCTAGCTCTCCCGCCCGTCAACACATCAGCGAGTTCCTCTCTGACTACTCCCTGGATCAACTCGTGACAACATCAACATTCACTACCGGTTCTCTCTTGGACGTGTGTATTGTACAAAACCGAAAATTTGTGCGTTCTTATAGCGTAGTCCATTGCCATTTCAGCCCACACAAACTCATCCACGTGACCGTCGACGTGCCTAAGCAGCGCCTAAAACCAACTGTCATCCAATCTAGATCACTTAACCAAGTGGACGTTCACTCTATCAACCAAGAGCTGCTGAGTGTCGATTGGCAGGAAGTTTATAACTCGACGTCTGTTGCTGACAAGTGGCAGGTCTTTTTAGACAACTTTCTACCTGTCTTCGACGACCATGCCCCCCTCAAAAATGTGCTGATAAGAAATCCTACAGCGCCCCCTGTATCTGCCGCCACCCGCGACATTATGTCCAGGCGTCGCTCCGCGTTACGTCGGCTAGGTCGCGAGTCTCCCGAGTATAAGGCTCTTAACCGCTCCGTCCGTGCCGCCTTACGCCGAGACCGCCGTCACGTCCTCCAAAACGAGATCAGCGAGCGTGGGGTAAACAAAGTCTGGCAAAGCATCAAATCAGTGATCGCTGGAAAGAAAGATGGTCCAAATATTCAGCCCGATCTGTCTCCCGACGATCTGAACTCTTTCTTCGTCTCTGTCGGGCCCCGCATTGCCGCCGAACTGAGTACCCAAAACAACGATACTGATCTAAATGTACGTCTACCCCGCGTCGGCACATGCAGCTTTAGGCCGAGGGCCATCACTCTCGGGGAACTCGGACTCACAGTGTTCAGCATGCGAAACTCTGCCGCGCGTGGCACTGACGGTATATGCATCCGCATGTTAAAAGTATGCTTCCAAACTATTGGCGACATCATTTTACACATCATTAACGTCTCAATCACCCGTTCCGACATTCCTGACCCATGGAAACACTCTATCGTTCAACCGATCTTCAAGTCGGGCAACCCATCTGACCCCAGCAATTTCAGACCGATCTCCCTAGTTCCCGTAATCATGAAAATCATCGAGCGTGTAATCCATCAGCAGCTCTATCACTATCTCACCCATAACCACCTTCTTTCGTCTACCCAACACGGATTCCGCCCCCGACACTCCACTGAGACCGCACTGCTGTCAGTCACAGATAGCATCCTTGCCGCCACCGATAGGGGTGAGATCTCAATGCTATGCCTCATAGACCTTAGCAAATGTTTTGACGTCATTGACCATGAACTCCTTGTCAAAAAGCTCCAAATCTACGGTATTGAGACCTCCTGGTTTTCCGCTTATCTTCAGGGACACACGCAGAGTGTATCCCTGAAAGACAAAACCGGCCGTAAGATAACCTCTCGACCGCTCCCAAACACCGTAGGAGTTTTCCAGGGTTCGGCTTTGGGTCCCCTCCTCTTCACTATATTCTCCAACGACCTCTCACTATTTGCCGGAGACGCCACCGCTTATCAGTACGCAGACGACACCCAGATATTGGTGAGCGGCCCACGCAACGACATCAGGAGTCTCATCTCGCGCATGGAGGCATCGCTAGAGTCACTTAACGCATGGTTCTGCGCACACGCCCTGAAAGTCAACGCTTCTAAAACTCAACTGATGGTATTCGGTAGCCGACAAAACCTACGTAACCTGCCTCGCTTCAAAATCTCTTTCCGTGACGCTGAGCTCCTGCCGTGCGCGCAGGTCGGAAACCTGGGAGTTGTATTCGACGGCGCACTCACCTGGGAAGCACACGTGGCCGAGCTGAGCCGCCGCTGCATGGGCGTACTGATCGGCCTCTCCCACGCACGACACTGCCTCCCAGACGGTATCCTCAAAACGATCGTGACTGCACTCGTCATCTCGCGCGTCCAGTACTGCCTCACTGTATATGGAAATGGCTCCCAGAAAAACTTCGACCGACTTCAAAAAATTCTAAACTTTGCAGCACGGGTCATATTCGGCCGCCGGAAATTCGATCACGTCTCTGGCCTCCGCGATTCACTCGGATGGATGCCTCCAAAAGCTATGGCCGATGTTAAAACCATGGTAACTGCGCAGAAAATAATAAGCAACGGCGAGCCCGAAGCACTAGCTGCCATCTTCATGAATAACAGTGACGCGCGAGAGAGGTCCACTCGACAGGACCACCTTTTCCACCTTCCACGCTCGCGGCTCGAGACTGGCAAGCGACGATTCGGCTACCGGGCCGCGGCGCTACTAAACAGTCTGCCTCCCGGTGTCATCGAACAGCGCCCCGCCCCATTCGCCCGTGCGGCCAAGGCTGCAGTCTGTCCGGCGATGGCGTCCGCCCGACGATGACCCGTGTCAGGGGAAGGAGGTGCGACATCCGTGTACGGTGTGCTGTCTTGAATCGTCCGTTTGTATATAGAGAGAGCGAATGTCCAGCGATTGAATCTGTATGCCTGTGTCTCTTGTCCCCGCATGTTTTTGTTTGTGCCCGACTCAGACTCTGGACTGTAATCGCCACGCCCCGCGTGGATTGTCCATGAAGGTAATACAATACAATACAATACAATACAGCGTATAGTGATGGCTATGACAGTGTATGTTGGAATGCTTCTGCTTTTTTTCCTCGACATATCGAGTAGAGGTCAGGTGTTCAAAAGCTTTTGACCAGCATTACAGTTGCACATCAAGGATATTTTTCATGATAAATGGTCTTCTCCAGAGCTTACGGACTGCTAGATATGCGACTTTTACCTTTTCCGACTGCCTAAAAGTAGAATATCTGTTGCATCGGTACGTTCTCTAGTGTACGAAAATATAAGATAAATACGCATATAAATAAAATGTGATTGACGAATTGAGCATGTCACGAATTAATTGGTATTCAGAGAACAGTATTGACGTCCAAACAACTAGTGTACTTAATGACCCCCGGACATTGCAGCAAAACAAAGCATTTGATTTATTACGGCCGTCTTGACAGTTGGCGGCATAGTTACCATCAGAGGGAAGCCTACCGCAGGTGATCATGTACAAATATTAGTCAGAGTTTCCAACTATGCCCGATGGCAGGGGCACGGCATGCAACGATGAGCATGGTCAACAAAAAGGATTGACGACTTACGGCCATTTACTTCCATGTGCATGGCCTGGCATGACAACCGCAAACCGAAGCGATATGCTGATAAGTCTGGTTAATTGTGACTCGATAGCGGGTTAGCAATTTGAAAAGCGTCCAGCAGAAATGCTTGCTATTTCTAAATTGATGGGGAAGGGGTGATTGGCGAGCTGGCGCTCGTGCCTGACCGTTGTGCTTGTCGGTGATATCAGTCAGGAGATGGTCGCTGAACAACGGCAAAGCAGCGCTCTCTTCCCCAATATGATGAATTTTGATGCTTGTGAATTGTAATGTCGATAGGAAAGCCATTTTGAATTTGAATCTGTTTATTTGTTTAGGACTTATTATCTACTGTTCTGGTTATCTCAACGTCAAACGACATTGAATCTTGTCTTATGTTTACCTTTCTACTGATAGATTCATTTAATTTTCGCAATTCACTACAAGCCTGTGCCTTCTTTTTGTGTGTGAAATTTTTCCTTCGTTTCACGGGAGTTCCAGAAATGTGACATTGGACGCTGCAGGGATCATGCTTCCCAAAAACGTCTCCCAATAAAAAATGTTGAAGCAGCAGAGCCTGCTTCCTAATGCGTTCTGAGCAGCTGAATATTCTCTTCTGATGTATTTCTACGCTAGGAAAAATGCACTTCCTTTTAGTTTCGTACGTTGCGGGGGAGATGTCACCGATTGCTCTTTATTCCACGATGTTTTTTTTTCCGAAAGACTTCAGCAGCCTTTCATCAATTTATCTGCCCAACAACTTGCTTTCATAAAACGCTGAATATGCCCGATAACTGTAAGTTCAAAGTCGTCGAAATAAAGGTCTACGTATCTTGCACCATAGCTTGCACAAACGCAGAAGTGGAGCTTCAACGTGTGAGCCAGTAGTGTTGAGTCTTCATTAACTGATTGAAACCACCCACCTTACCGGTTCCTAACGGCATGCCACGCGTTAGCGTGATTGCAGTCCAGCCGTTGCTGACATATTAACAGGTTATGCACGTGCGCACGTGCAGTGATACCCTAGTTTGACATATGGAAATTGATCGCCTGTATGCCCATCAATCAATCACATTTCAACACAATCAAACTATTTATTATCGGGCCTCAGAACGGAGCCTACTTTGACGTGTGGGAATCAGCACTTGACTCGTGGATTCATTTTTTAAACGTCTTTCTCCTGTCACGAACTGGTTGTTCCATTGATATACTATCTCTATAAACCTTGCCATGATGTTCAGACCCTCCCTCCGGCGGGGCCGGGAAGGAAGCGCAGCGCGTGACCGATATCAGGTGTCCCGTCCCCACCGATATTCGATCTGTGTGCGGGAAGTCCGGACCGCACGCCGGCTACAGCTGACCCACACCCCGGCGGGGGTCCCACCCAGCCCGGCGTCCGGCCGGCGCGGGCCGGGCCAGCCGAGACCGCAGGGCGCGGCTCGCTATCGGACTCACCTGGATCCCATGACGGCCACCAGGTTACCGGCCAGCACGGCGCCGTACACTGCCGCAAGGCACACAGCAGGGCGGAGGTCACGACCGGGGTAACGTAGAACAATATACTGCACGGAGGATAAATGCGAACAGAAAGTAGGTTGATATGAGGTTCGGGCTTAAGTCAACATTTACAAGAGCTAACTGAATCACAGGTAGGCATGTAGATAGAGGATTTTAGTTTCATGGACAGTACACACAAAGTTGAATATCAGAAGCGTTTTCAAGCAGAGGTGTGGCAGAGCACGCCCGTACTCACCATTGTTGAGCACCCGTTTCAGTTTGGGCGCCTCCGACTGGCAGCTGCTGAAGACGCTGCTGTTCTTCTTGTCGGGCACGTAGACGTTTACATCGTGCCATGTGAGCGTGACGCCGCCGGTGGGCAGTGGCGACAGTGGCTTCACGGCGCCGTAGCCGGCCGACTCGCGGCTCAGCTCCGTCTCCAGCAGACGCTGCGGCAGACGGCGGCGCCCGTTCGTCACACGCCCGCCGAGATCAGGTCGGGGGAGGGTTCACTGAGGGTCGCCGCTCAGACACGCCGGGACCATCACCCGGCGCGCGGCGCGCTCGTTAGAATACCTACGGCCGCTCGCCGAGACTGATCAGTCCAACCACTACTGGCTATCGCTTGGAACGAGGGAGAGGGAGACAGCGACCAGCTCAGATAGATACGAACGTGGACACTGGACAGTGGACAGCGAGAGCGCGCTGGTCCGACACGCGACAGGCGTGTGAAGGCGTTCACAGATCTCGCTGCCAAACGAGCCTTTTTGTGCCACAAATTACGATGTTTTTTATAACTGCACTCTTATCATCGAAGGAGACTGATTAAAAGAAGTGAATTTTATATTGTAGTTCAGTCCTGATTTCAACATCTCTTTTATTGAGTGGACTAAGCAACCTTAAAGGGACTATCCCACCTTTAACATGGGGTTTGAGTTGAGATAGCCAAGTTTGCGGCGAGGTTCAGAAACCACTATCTATCTAGGTTGCAACCCCCGCGGCCTCTTGGTGTTGAAGAAATTCGTTCCCTTCATTTGAAAATGGGCCTTGTACAAGGCCCTATCTTCAACATGGAGCGACCGTTAGTGTGACGTCACCTCGTTTAGTCATTTTGATTTAAATGGGTTTGTTCGTTGAAAAATCGCTTAAAACTTGGTCTGAACTTTGTTGTGGTGCCTACAGAGTAAAAAGAATCAGCTTTATGACAGTAATGTGGCCTGGGGAAGGAGGTAATTTTGGGCTGTGACGTCACATATTTGAAAGTTTGTGTTTGGAATATGGGAAGCCTAAGATGTTTAATGAAAAATAAATGCCAGAACCGTGTTCCTGGTCATCCAATCTATAAAGTCGGGCACAATTTAACTGGTTTTAACAACATTTTAGGAGGTGGGATAGTCCCTTTAACCCGCGCCCTGCTGGGGGGGTGTTTGAACACCCCCCCTTGTGGTTTTTCGCGAATATCTCAAAAACGGCGGCGCGGAGCGCCGCCGTTTTTGGTACACCTTATCATACATCAATTCTACACATGTTGTGAAAATTTCAGACCAAGGTCATTCAAGGTCAGGTCACCAGGTCACTTGAAGTGACCTCACCTCATAAAAACTTTCAATGTCTGTCATAGCTACACCGAGTGACCGATCGCTTTGAAACTTTCAGCGATTGCTAAGAGCAATAGCATGTACAAAATGTATATCTCAGAATTTTGATATCGATGACCTAAGGTCAGGTCAATTTTGCGACCTCCCCATTATAAGTCAATGGGAGAAAATTGAAATGCGCCTCCTTTGGATGAAAGACATTATAAACACTCCCAAACACCGAATTACAAGTGGTTTAGACACACTGAACTTGAAAATGGTGTCCGTGACCCTTGTTTATGCCCTGAGGTCATCTTAGGTCACGAATGGTATCTAACAATTTTTCGCAAATAACTTTTGATAGAGGCATGCTAGAGCGCTGAAAACGCCTTAGATGTGTTCAGCTCGACGATACGGATCGACTGATATGCAACATGACCCTTTCCGGTCAGGTCATGACCTTGACCTGAGGTCAAATTTTCAAGTTGACCTTTCAAGGTCAAGTCATAGTTCATTCGATGCGTCTTGACGAGAGGAACACGATGCCGGTAAAAGTAAGCTCGTACAAGGCTTGGGTCAAACGTTATTGCAGAAAAACTGTTTTCGAAAAAATCGGCTATTTTTGCAGTTTTTGCCCCCTGCAGGCAAAACCGTTGACGTTAGGTCAAATCTGAGAGAATTACTCAGAAAGGGCGTTAATAGGGCTATCAAATGCGCTTTTCCGCGGCGCTGTAGCTCTATTGGTTCCCGAGTTATGCGTTGGCTTCTTGGAAATTTTCGACATTCGACCTGGAAATCGGCGAAATTTTGCCTTCAATGACCTCTGGTGACCTGACCTTTGACCTGATCAAAAAATTGACCGAAGTGATTTCGTCATTATTTTTGACGCTCTTTCGAACGCCGCCTTCCGCGTATCGCTACGTGGCCCAGGAGCCGAGTTACAAGGGGGGGGTGTTCAAACACCCCCCCCCCAGCAGGGCGTGGAAATCCAGGACCCCCAGCAGGGCGCGGGTTAACTGATCCTAATAAGCAATAAGGAATGGGGATGGCTAAGATAATCAGCAGACGAACAAGGAAACAAATATGGACGGACAGATGGACAGACGGACAGACGTCAGACGGACAGACGGACGGGCGGACGGACAGACGTACGGACGGACAGGCGCACAGACGGACGGACGGACGGACGCACAGACGGACGGACGGACGGACAGACGGACGGACGGACGGACGGACAGACGGACGGACGGACGGACCTGGTGCTCGCTGTACTCCCTCGGTGACCGGCGGCCGCCCAGCAGCGACACGCTCTGTTCACCGTCATCGCGACGCACCATTCTGAGTCGACGTGCCGACTCCCGGGTCACTGGAATCAGAGAAAAGTCAGCTACATAGGTTGGCGGTTTCCTTTTTTTTCATGCGTGACTTGGGCCGGGCTGTTTCGCTGTTTTTATTAGAATATGCACGTTTCAGGACTAGATCACAGGACATACATCCATTTTGTTGCAAACTCCGGCGTGAATAGGTGGGGCTTTGCTGTTACGTGCCCTACTTAAATACGTGTCCTAGAGCAACAGATAAGTTCAGTTGCCTGCAAAAGTGTTAAAGCGTGGCCAATGGCGATCGCTCTCCATTTTGAATTTGCATTGTATTGTGCTTGTCCCCTGCTTTTTTCTGCATCTATATTCGTTGTTTACGCTGAGAAACATTTTTTTTTTTGCTTCCTGCTAGGCGAGATGTCACTATGAGCATGCAGCCTAAAGCATAAATCGCAGATGCTTAAACGTAGAAAAACTAATGAAACGTGCACGCCTGTCACCGTACGCTGCATGGTGCAATAGTGCATAGTAACCGGCGTGAGCAGGTGATTTAGCGCATGCAAGTCACCGGCGACCCTGGACGCCTCGTGCGACCGGCTGGTTTCATCAGGCTCCTCTCTGGCCATTTCTGCTGGGACCTGGCTTTAGTGCCATTAGTTGGCTACTATGTGCAGTTGCAAGTTGATGAGACTGGTGAACCTGCTTGGGCGCCGCGGGCACTGACGTCACACCGTCCGCGGGCTCCTGCCTCAGGGCTCTGACCGGCCCCAGACGCGCCTGGTAGAGACGTACTGGCCTGGAACTGCCGGCCGCGGGCGGCGCGGGCGCTTAGATCTCGACAGCGGCGCCTCACCGGCCCTGCCATCCATTGTGTTCCTGGCAAAGGGTCCACCATCTCCCGGCCGCGATATCGTCCGTTATATCACGCTCATTACCGGCCGCGCGGTAGCTGGAACGACGCAAGTCGCCCTCACCATTGCAGCTGATTAGACGCAGAAGATGAGTTATGGTGTAACCTAATTGTGGTCTTTTAACACTTAAGATTGCGGAAAAAGCGCGATTCGCGACCCTGAACCCGTCCGGTTGCGTTGATGGGCCGTTTTACAACTTTGTCAGGCTTTTATTTCCCAGATATCGCGAAAATTTGGCATCGCACAACATCGCTTTTAAACTCACCCTATCACAAGCAATTGTACAGTCACAGTACAGTGCAACAATTTTGACACAAAGTCCCTCGGGCCCGGTCGTATCGCGCATGAGATGATCTGTCTGTGTACGGGATCGGCCCCGCGGCTTACGGCTAAGGGCTATTGAAAGTCATGAATATTGTCACCATAGAGCCGGTATACCTGCAGGTAAGCCCATGTGTCTCGTGCGGAGCGACCTCGACGTGCACACACTGCGCCAAAGTGTGACGTGCAGACTGCAGTTTCGGCACGGAGAGTGCGTGCCCTGGGCGAGCCTGAGGAGCTCGCTGCATGTTAGTGTCCTCCATTCAAGGCAGTGTAATCACTCCAGCAGGCAGGAGCGTAACCTGCGCCTGCCAGCGACAAGAACAGCACTGCGGCCGGGCAGCGAGGGTTTGCATACCGAGCAGCCTCGCTTCTAAGAAATGCCTGTGTGGCAACTGGCATGACACGATTCGAGCTAGTGCACCTTTTTAACAGGCGGCGAAACGTTTATTTTATTTGGAGTATATATGTGTGTGTTTGTTGGTGGTGTGTGTTGTTGCGGTAACTGATTGTTGTGTTTTGCCGTTTACTTGTGTATTGTGTATTGTGTAACCATATTGACTTTCCTGCAACCGTTTTATTCACTGACTATTAACGTGTAATAGCCACCCTGTTGTGGACTGTCAGCTGACGAAAATACGTAAATGCAAGTACAAATATAAGTGTTACGGTAAAACGATAAACCGCAAGGCCGAAAATGTTAGGCGAAGCAGTGAATGACGATATACATTTATATCACTGAAAACCATTTAAGTGAAATAATAAAAGGAAATGGTGCATGATGTGAGTACGAAAAGACGAGACGACATTAAATAATGTGATTAAATGACAATGAATGAATTAATTCAATGAGAGCAGAATCGATACATTAATAAAAAAACAGAGAGCGTATTTTTTGAAGTGCAAGATCCTAAAAACTCTGTTTTCAAAGTTAAGTACCAAAGTTCGTTTCTTATAATCTCGTGGCTATGCTCATGCGGCGACTTTCCAAAACGAGCCGCTGCTTGCAACGGTGGCACCAACCTGCCCAGTGCCCACGGTCAATTCATCAGCAATTTGATCCGTCTAATTTCTGGTGTGTGTGTAGGATAATTATCTTACTTCAATTTGAGGAAGAAAAAAAAACGCAATGCGTAACGCTGTGCAGACTGTTTGAATACACATGCTGGTGACTAAAAAAAAATCCTGCTATGCGTGCACAATGAATGCACAAACGTGTGTTAACACACATGCTGAATGTTTTGTTCCACGATTGGTAGTACCGCGCACCTAATCCGCGCCCAGGTGGACCTCTCAGTCAACTTCGCCGTAGTGGGGGTGGGTCGGGGGGGGGGGCTTTTAGGCCGCACCATGCTATCACGGAAAGTAAGCAAGCTAAAAGGACGCGGTGAAAAAGCAATAGATAGTTCGCTATAAGATCGTTCAGAATTATACAGGTCATTTTACCTGACCTTAGGTCACCGATATCAAAATTCGGAGATATACAAATTGTTGGTACTGATTTCCTCATGCAATAGCCCAAGTTTCAAACTTCTGGGTTGTAAGCTGTATGAATGAATGAATCACACAACTTTTTTTAGGCATGGCCACTTAACTTTCTGGTAGTGGTGACCTGACCTCATGTGACCTGGGGTCAAAAATTAATTTGACAAACGATGCGAAATTGATGTATCATATGCTATACCAAGTTTCGCGGCGCTGCTCGCCGCGGTTTTCTTTACACACGCAAAAAACTGGAAGGTGTGGCCAAAAACCCCCACTCGGGCGAAGGCTAACGTGACCTACTGTTAACGCCAGACCCCTTGAGACCCTAATTTTTCGCGATTACTTTTAAATGCGTGAAGGAATTTCAACCAAGCTCAGGACATGGCCGTTTCAAGACAGGCCGAAACTTTTACAATTTAGATATTTTATCGCCATTTCAATATTTCAGGCACTTGTCATTGACTCGTAATGTTAACTGTTTTTCCATCCTGGATAGAGGCTTTCTACGTCATATGACATTAGGCTCCGCCCACGACTGCGGCATTGACCCGTGCCCATCAGCGACCTCTGTACAAACGACACCCCTGCCATCTGTGAAGGACTATGAATTTCGCTGACGCTTCACGTACTATGAGTCAATTGCAGCAGACGGTCAAGTAAATGTTAGGCTCTTGTTGACTCTTGTATATAGGACCAAGAGGACCATCACTCCTCAACCTACTACTCAGTCGTGCTTCGAACAAACGTTAACGATTCCTAACAAATACGATTTTCGATGTAGGGTATCTGTTTGAAATACGAGCGAGCCGTATGATGTGAAGCTCAGGCAATTAACTTATTATTGCGTTGTTCGATGGTTGCATAGCGATGTACAAATCGGCAGCTACTTGGTGACATCCGACATCCCATTATCGCATTATCTGCAACGCCATAGGCTTTAAATACAGGTGAATATTTCCTAACCTTATGTCAGTTATATGCCATCTGCCCGTCATTTGCAGCTTATAAAAAAGAAAAAATATATCAGCGAACATATCAGCATTGTAGAAGCAATGCGCATTGAGCATTTATGACTCCTTAGTCATCATGTCGCTCTCTGGGCACTGTCAGCCAAGACGCTACGCACAACTCCGCCGGCTTTCGGCACCGCTCGACCGTCGCCCGTCCCCGCTCCCCGCCACAGCGAGAGTGACCGCGCGTCGGCCCGAAACCGCCGCAGGCCAAGACCACAGAGGCGGGGCTTAGCTGTGACGTCATAACGTATCACAGGCTGACTGGTGATAGCCTCTACACACCGGATGAAAATCTTGCTCGAAATTTAACATTACGAGTCAATGACAAGTGCCTGAAATATTGAAATGGCGATAAAATATCTAAATTGTAAAAGTTTCGGCCTGTCTTGAAACGGCCATGTCCTGAGCTTGGTTGAAATTCCTTCACGCATTTAAAAGTAATCGCGAAAAATTAGGGTCTCAAGGGGTCTGGCGTTAACAGTACACTAACAACACACGCTGGCAGCAAACAGGCAGCGATGTAAGCTTTTTCATATGCTGCAGCAAAGCCTAATGACAAACAAGGAGGCATAAAGTTTGCAATATCGTGTCAGAAATGTTGCCATAAAATCCAATCGCGCATGTGAAGACCGTCTGATGAGTGCACGTGATGAGCTTTAGGCGTTATGATAGCAGGTGTGTTCTTCAATAAAGCTGCTCATTCGAGACACTCACCGAAGTTTCATTATATAATTCTGTTCGACTCATTGACGGATGCAGCTCGAGATAAGGCCGGGTGTTGTGGAGAACAATGGATCCGATGACTTAAAACTTGCAGAACTTAGTGCTTGGATCACTGGCGGATCCAGGGGGGGGGCCACCGGGGCCATGGCCCCCCCCCCAAAAGCCTGAAAGGGGGGCCAACATATCTTTTGGCCCCCCCCAAAACGCTTGGAGAAAAATTAATGTGAGAAGGTTGCGTAGTAGATACCTACTAGAATCAGCAGCGTGATTCAATAGCGTAGAGAAAGTCAGGGGCGCGGGAACTACTTTCAGACTGGGGGAGCACACCATAATAGAGATCAACCTAGGGTCCCCCCAAATCTAGTTTTCTCACCGGTTTTAGGCCACTTATTTTTCATCCCTTGGCTTTTTCAACAAAAAAAAAAGAAACAGTTGCAAAAAAGGACGGTATTCCGTTTTAAAGTTGTGGGGGCACCGCCCCCACTGGCGGATTCAAGGGGGCCACCGGGGCCATGGGCCCAAAAAGCCTAAAAGAGGGGGCCAACATATCTTTTGGCCCCCCAAAACGCTCGAAGAAAAATTAATGTGAGAAGG